CTGTATACTGAGACGTTGGCCAGATGGAGGTGCTATATGCTGGGCCAGTTGGAGGTGCTATGTACTGAGACGTTGGCCAGATGGAGGTGCTATATGCTGGGCCAGTTGGAGGTGCTATGTACTGAGACGTTAGCCAGATGGAGGTGCTATGTACTGAGACGTTGGCCAGATGAAGGTGCTATATGCTGGGCCAGTTGGAGGTGCTATGTACTGAGACGTTGGCCAGATGGAGGTGCTGTATTCTGAAACGTTGGCCAGATGGAGGTGCTGTATACTGAGACGTTGGCCAGTTGGAGGTGCTATATGCTGGGCCAGTTGGAGGTGCTATGTACTGAGACGTTGGCCAGATGGAGGTGCTATATACTGGGCCAGTTGGAGGTGCTATATACTGGGCCAGATGGAGGTGCTGTATACTGGGCCAGTTGGAGGTGCTATATACTGGGCCAGTTGGAGGTGCTATATACTGAGCCAGTTGGAGGTGCTATATACCGGGCCAGTTGGAGGTTCTGTATACTGGGACAGTTGGAGGCGCTGTATACTGGGACAGTTGGAGGTGCTGTGTACTGGGCCGGTTGGAGGTGCTATATACTGGGCCAGTTGGAGGTACTATGTACCGGGCCAGTTTGAGGTGTTCCTGACAGAACAACACCGCGACGTACTGGGTAGTCGTCATGAAAGGTTCCCATATGGCTGGCCATCTCCCCAAAAGCGGTGTCCAGGATGGTAAAAACCCAGAGCGTGGATTTTGCGACCGGGGCCACAGGCTACCAGAAGTACAGCAGGGGTTGCTGACCCCTGCTGCCTGACATTCAAAAGTATGTCACAATAGTGAAAATGTGTTCTGGCCGAAACCGGCGGTCGCGCAATACGTGTGCGAGACACTGGAGTTCTTGGAGGGTCATACTTCTCTAAGAAGTATGACCATGCGCAGGAGATCCCCAAATCTGCCTCACTTTCGGCCGATCGAGACTTTCTAACATTAGTAGAACAGGAAATGTATAGGACGGCTGGGCAGGTTACCTCGTCAATCAGCTGAGGTACCTTATTGGCCGAATAACGGCTGCCATTGATGCGGAGGTACCGAGCAGCAGGCTGAGGGCAGGGGAGCATGTGCGTGCTGCAGCCCAGCATGAGGTAAGCCTCGTTCTAGTATGGATGTGCGACACTCATTAATACTCGTGGAGCAAGTCTTATGGAGACATCATAGAAAGAAATGCAATTCTTGTCGTTCGAAAATTGCCCAAAAAGGAGATGCTCGCCTGGTAGTTACTTGTCTTCCCCGTTGCTTTCCCCATTGTATGCTGTATCGCGGCAAGTGCCAGTCATCATTATACGCTGGATTATCCGATCGGCAAGTTAACGGTTGCGCCCATCGTATGCGTCACGCTGACAGGCAGACGACAGAAGAAGCTCGCTGGTGAACCAACTGCCATCGTTAGCGGAAACCGTCGCAAAAATGACAGTTTATTGTAGATTGTTTTCATACGGCATTGCATTGTCATTCCTGCGGTTGTTGCCGACTTAGTAGTCTTATTATCTACGCGACTGTAAGCACATCCACGGCTTGCACCCGCTACTGGACTGGATAAATATGCTCTGCTATTTCTGTTCCCTCTACTCTCAACGTCCCTTGGCTGAACTAGACTGACAGAGAAACATGCACACCTTTTTTCTCTCTTTTTTTCCTCAAACGTGTCTGCATTAACTACTGCGCGTCTGCGAAACCATAGGTACGGGTTTTGATTTCCCGCGGTGCGCGGCTATCCTGCCAAGGTGAGAGGGAGGCGACGCGATGTAGCCTTAGCAGCTGAGCGCCTCGCAAAGCTCCAACGACGACGATCCGTGGGAGTAATGAAGTGTGGTGCCATTCTGCTGACACCACTGACTGGCAGGCTTGCACGTGTGTGCTCCACTACCAGAGCTGTCCCAAGACTTCAATGTACGACTGCGCATTCCCTGTTGCCGCGCGGGAGACATCTTCCTCCATGGAGGAAGGAATGATTCGTAATAAACCCGGAATGATCCGAAAGACCTAAGAGACTGCAGAGTGGACCATGGTACAATAATACCTTAGACGTTGCCATCTGTACGGTGCGCTGCATTAAGTGCAGCGGTCGCCGCGGTACGATATCGGACCTAATTTCTTTACAGCGCACGTTGCTTTTTAGTTCACGTTGCCACCGATAAAAATGCGCGTTATCAGCAAACCACGATGATCTTGTGGTTAATGCTTGGTCTTGTTACCAAGCCACTGACATATTGACACCTGTTTCTCCGTGTCTTGGTTTTCGAGCTAATGGAATACTCCTGTAGGTGTACCTTCATGTCTGTTATCAGTATGCTACACGATCCAGTGCTGCTCAGCCCGAGTTCCTGGCGGCGACGGCGAAGGCGGCGTTGCTACCATCCTAAATGGGCGTCTTTGCCCTGGGCTGAGGTGTTAAGATCGTGATCCGGGGAAGGTACGAGCTTGACAAAAAACATACCGACACGAAAGTCAGAAGTTTCTCACGAAATGAAACGATTTTCTCGGAGGCTTTGCCGCATAGAACAGCAGCCAGATAGCCAACGAATGTTGACATGCGCTCGGGTGGGGGTCAAATTGGCCCCCGGAGGGTTTTTCCGGAATGCTTTCCGAACGACGCGGCGTGGCCGCGCCAAATTTCCTTGTTGGCAATCGAACAGCGGATCGTTTGGTGTCAAAAATTTAGATGTACCTTGTAAGGTCGCTGACCTGTGGCAGGTCAAAGTCAGGCCACGGTTTCAGCGAAGTCAATTTCTAGGGAATCGTTCAATCTGATGCAACAACGGAGTGTTAGACGGAGCCATACATCTCTGAGATACCTTCTTAGGTAACACAACAATAAATGAACAAATTACATTGATATAAGGTCTGGTATGAAGGTCACACCAAGGCCAAAACTAGCCTGTTCTATCACTAGGGCTTGCTTTATGAGATAGCTTCTGGTGCTCATTTCGAATTTATTGATAACAAAAACCGTATATTGCATCTTCTATGGACTTCTTAGAGGTCAGAATATGTGACTGACCTAAAATGACCCAGGGCAACATTTTGTTTTTAGGAACACACTGCCTAGTGTAATCTTTGTCGCTTATTCAAATGCAGAACTTCAAGCAGTCTTGTATGATTTTGGTCACCATGACCTGCAAAAGGTCAAACAAGCTCATTGACATTAAATGAACAGGTGATCTTTGGCTTAGAAACAGTTCTCTAGGTTATGAGGGCACTTAAAGAGACCAGCCTGGAATTTGACCTTGTTTGACCTTATTTGACCCAAAGGTCATGACCTAGGAGCCTTAAACTTTGACCTAAATGAGTTGACGTACAGATCAAGACACTCTGTGAATGTGATGTTGCTAGCTCTCTTAGTTCCTTAGATCTCGGGGGGGGGGGGTCAGATTGACCCCCACCCGAGCGAAGAGTGTCCAGCTGGCCGCCCGGGCGTGTTATGAGTCAAATACCTATGTGCGTTAAAATTCCTCACTCTATATCATCGTAAAAAATCATAAAATGTCTAGTGTCTGTACCACGAATAAGGTTAGCTTGTAATTTTGATCAATCATCATGCCTGAGATTGATGATACTTAGCAGCCAGTCGCACATCTTGTCACCAGTTTCTCGTATTCAGGCAGCTTTCCGTATACAAAATAGCTGAAATAAGAGTTAAAATTACAGGAAGAAATTCAGAGCGTTGACAGGGAGGGGCAGCGGCACCATTATCCAAGTTTGTCCGTTCAGTTGACATCATATTCACATTTACATTCTGGTCGGCATTGGCCCCCGATAGTGGATTTTGGATTGACCTGAAAGCCTGCACACAGATGTTGTGTGACCTTTTGATGATGGCAAATACAAACACTGAGACTGGCGCGTAACATACTGCAGATCCTCCCTGTTACCAGTGAACGGGTCGTAGTGGGTCTAAGGCCATGCCATTAAAGCAGACGGCTTCGACTTTTGCAACAAACTTTTCAACATAGATATAGATCTCTTCAACATGAAGAACACAAGACCTGAAGAATACAAAACTAATATGAGGCCCACGGCAGGTCAAAGTTGCAAATATCGATCTGAAAATGCATCTCAATCAAACTGCCGACCTGAGAAACACATGTCACGTGTCCTCCTTCTGACAATATCCTGGATTTGTCTATGGGTCAGTGGCAGTGACAGATACCGTTAATTTTTGGTACTCGTCCCCTTCACGTGGTGCGTGAATTGGTGATGGCGATTTGACGCTGTACATAACGATTTCAGAACAGAAAGCTTAAATATAAACAAAGCAGCGCGCATATCGCTCATCGCCGACACAAGTCATTTTGATCAAGACCCGTAAAGCAGCCAACTTCTATCACGCTAAGTGTTGTCTCGATCGCGCTAAAAAGACGAAATTCGCGTAAGTAAGGAAAAGATGCAAAATAAAATCAACCAAAAGTGTTTGTGAATTCCATAACAAACGCCGTTTCTAGTTCACTAACAATCTGAGAAAATAGCTCCATTTTGATCCTTCATATCTTCAGATTAGCCATACCGAAGTTGGCCCTCAGCCCAAAAATTAAGGGACCAAGCGTTCCTCCTGTTCTGTTTCCCTGACTACATCGGTGTTTTAAGGATCTGTTCAGTAAACGCGCCTCACTCAATCAATGCCTCAGTACAGTTCGGTCGACAACTTTGCAAACTTCAGTATCTGCAACTTTCAGATATTTTCAGAGTTTCCGTCTCCCTCGCTCTTGCCCTTTTCCTCTCGCCCCCGTAGGCCATGCATCGCCGCACGTTACACACCCTTGGTTTATTTCTAGGCCCAAGTGCCCGGGCATCTTGGCACTTTGGCACCCAACCGCCAATTGGCGCGCGTGACGCTACCAAGCGTCAGTTGGAGTGCGGCGCGTCCCAGCTCTCTGGTGTGTGCGTTGAGGTCGGCGTGAGAGGGAGCTCGCGCCATGATCGGCGCTGTGGTATCGCTGCTGTACCGGCTGCTCGGCTGGCTGCTGAGTCCCGTGTCGCTGGCCGTCCTGGCCGCCACCCTCGGCGCCGTCTACTACTTCCTCACCAAGGACTACGACTTCTGGCCTTCGCGCGGCGTGAAGGGGCCGCGCGCCAAACTGCCCTGGGGTAACGGGTTTGGTCCCCCATTTGTGACGTCGATGCTTGACTTTGAAGAATGGATATACCACAAGCAGGGTGGGAAGAAGTACTGTGGATACATGGAGATGCACCGGCCCATTCTGTACGTAGGAGACCCGGATTTGATTCGTACCATCACCGTCAAAGATTTCGAGCACTTCACCGACCGTAGGGATCTCGTGTTTAGCGACGTGTTTAAGGAAATGCTTTCTGTACTAAATGGAAAGAAGTGGAGAGAAACCAGATCGGTAATATCGCCGACTTTTTCTTCAAGTAAGATGAGGTTAATGCACCAGCTTTGTCTGGATAATGCCTCCAACCTAAGCAAGTACTTGCTGGAAGAAATGAAACAGAACGGCGAGGTCCAAATGAAGGAGTCATTTGGTCGCTTCACCATGGACAACATTGCTGCGTGTGCTTTTGGTGTGAACTGCAACTCTTTCAAAGATCCGAACACAGAGTTTGCAACACATGCGGGTGAACTGTTTAAGCCACCAACGACGTATGGATTCATCCACTTCGTCGCTCTCCTGACGTTGCCAACGTGGCTTTATAGCAAACTTCCGGATCCCAGCCTGCAAACAAACAGTTTCTTCTCACGAGTAGTGAATAAAACCATCGCCCATCGGGACGACAAAGGCAGCTCTCGTCGGGACTTCCTCCAGCTGCTGCTGGAGACCAAGGACAAGGACGGCAACCGCGTGCTCACAAATGACAGCATCGTCGCGCAGTCGGTGATGTTCTTCATCGCCGGCTATGACACGACGGCCACACTCCTGACCTGCGCCGGGTATTCGCTGGCCACCAATCCCGACTGCCAGAGGGCTGCACAGCGCGAAATCGACGGCGTGCTCGAGCGGCACGGCGGCCAGCTGACCTACGAAGCAGTCTCCGAGATGACCTACATGGACCGCGTGCTGAGCGAAACACTGCGGATCTATCCACCCGGACCCCGTCTGGAGCGTCAGTGCACCAAGGACTACATCCTGCCGGGGACGGACGTGCACATCCCGCGTGGCGTCCTCGTCCAGATGCCGATATTGGTGATGCATCGGGACCCGGAAATCTACCCGGATCCGCTGCGGTTCGATCCGGATCGCTTCCTGCCGGAGGAGAAGGAGAAGCGCCATCCGTGCTCCTACTTGCCATTCGGCAACGGACCGCGCAATTGTATCGCCATGCGGTTCGCGCTGTTCGAGGCCAAGGTGGCACTCATTGCAATCCTGCGTGAGAGCAACCTGAGACCAGGGCCGCGCACGCCGCCGCCGCCCATGCCAATGAATATGACAGGCTTCCTGTTGTCACCCAAGATGGACGCCGCCTACATGAAAGTGAAGCCCCGCAGCGAAGACTAGCAGGGAACAGAAAAGCAGTTGCTCTTGACAGTTACCCATGTCGAGGAGCCCGTGCGGAGGGAAAGGGGGGAGAGAGAGAGAGAGAGAGAGAGAGAGAGAGAGAGAGAGAGAGAGGAGAGAGAGAGAGAGAGAGAGAGAGAGAGAGAGAGAGAGAGAGAGAGAGAGAGAGAGAGAGAGAGAGAGAGAGAGAGAGGGAGAGAGAGAAAGGGGGAAGGAGGGAGGGAGGGAGAGGAGGAAAGGGAAGAAGATCGAGGAAGGGAGGGAACGGGAATACAGAGGGGGGATGCTTAAGTTTGCACGGCTGACCGTCCGTAGCCGCTAGCCCCCGCAACGGTGGAGGTCCCGGAAGGCATTTCGTGCTGTTTGGCATAAGCAAACCTATGTTATCACTGAGGCCATCTGCAGATGACTGACTTACAGCACCTGGAAAACGGACAGGCGAGAACACTGCTGCCAGCGCTATTGCTTGTGTTGGGTTCATAAAGATGCTTTTCGTTTACTTATTTTTTTTACGTAACAACTTATTTTTACTTCACACAATCTTCCAAGAGTGGGTCAGGATTTGGTCATCAAGTGTCCTTCGCACACGCTTTCTTCAAATAGTTTGTTAAGGTGCTTTCCTGTGCAGTTGGCTGTGACGCATTTTCATCAGGGATGCAGTGGGGTACGGAAATATATCAGAAAACACAAACATGAAATATATCGCTGGTACGGTACTTGCATTTTACGTTCGTCGGCCATGAGTCTCCTCTTCGCATGCTGCCCTGTTCTGATACTCACACGGTACATCAACATGTATGAGTCTACTCTCTTGCGACTCGATCATGCTTTGGCGTTTGACCGTGCAGGGAAAGTCCAACGCGCTTGATTCGAACCGCCAAGTGACTGCGGACAAAGGATGCATTGTTTGGAATTTGTAGACCTGGCGGGTGACTAGATTTGATCTCAAGGGGTCGAAACGAGACCTGAGCCCAAGCAGTCAGGCCAAAGTTATGCCTGAAGAGGACACCCACGTAAATAAAAAACAGATCGAAGCCAAAAGACAAACAGTGCAAAGAGAGCAAAACACTGCCATATGTAAAACGAGCATGGGAAACTTCAGGGACAGCTTCATCACGTACGGATAAATCTAGGTCGGCAAGTGACAAAACGTCATAATAGCAGCGAAGTGCTTGCAGCTAACGAAAACCAGACTTAGACTTACCTCCTTCCTCAGTACCCAATGGCAGCGAGAGTAAGATAAAGCGTAGCATGATTTGTAAGTTAGAAAAACTTCGTCTTTGTCTCTGTCTCTGTCGTTTGCCCGCTAATTGTTTGAAAACTGTAGGCGGTAGACCCTGAAAAATTTATGTTTTCTGAATCAGCGCGATGGGAGGGAGGTTTATGTAGCACTTTTTGAGATTAGACCACTGTCCGTGGTGCGACGGAGCGAGCAAGCTACATTCGCTTAGCATTACCTGATGGGATCCGCTGCGAGTGTCTTAGCGTGTTTACCAGTCATCCCGAGGCTCTATTTAAGTGTCTGAGCATCTTTACCAGTCATCACGGGGCTTTGTTTAAGTGTCTTAGCGTCTTTGCCAGTCATCAAGTGGCTCTGTTTAAGTGTCTTAGCGTCTTTGCCAGTCATCACGTGGCTCTGTTTAAGTGTCTTAGCTTCTTCACCAGTCATCACGAGGCCCTGTTTAAGTGTCGTAGCGTGTTTACCAGTCATCACGAGGCTATGTTTAAGTGTCTTAACGTCTTTACCAGTCATCACAAGGCTCTGTTTAAGTTTCTTACTATTATATTTTTGTCGGTCGGCGTCGATATCATTCATATTGCCTCCAAGGAAGGTGTACCCAAATGCATCGAAATATAGGTTTTTGTAACTAAACCACACAAAGCATAATTTCGATCAAAACAGCAATATTCATCGCTTTGCTTATTCCCTCAGCTGGTGTTTTTTATGGCGATGACGAAAGACACGATTGTAAATTCTGGTGGGATCGTGTGGCTTTGGTCAGTGCGCTGAACGACGAACGACTAACGAGCGTACCCTCAAGTGAATCGGTGAGCATCGGACTGTGGCAGGAGGCAAATAAAAAGGAAAAAGTAAATCCAAGTGATTACGGAAATTTAACAGGCGTACTTCATTACAACCATAGCGCTACTGCCAGTGGGGTAATTCCATGGGAGAGTTCTATGGATCGTGATCGGCAACGCTATAGATGTGAAATAGCAACGATTACAGTTTTTACCTTTTGGTGTTAAATTTAGCTTTGCAACCACCTTCTTCCTCTTGCTCGCATGATGCAGCACCGTTCACTCTATTAGTGTCAATGCTGTCATTCAGTAAAGAAATTATTCGTCCCTCGGTACTTCAACAGCTCGTAACGCTACCGCGATTCACTCAATTTTCTAGCTCCACCTTTGATCCACCGAAAAGTTTGCCATTCTGGTTCAACACCGTGTAGGTCTGGTGCCTAATGTTTTAAACTACCGTAACGTCTACAGAATCGCACAACAGGGTGGATCCGTTGTTCGTTGGTGGTTACTGTAGTCTGATCAACTACATAAGTACAAACAAAAACATACAAGATGGCGTAAGAATAACTTCAGCTACTTTAATAACTAAAATAACTAGTAAAAACATGTGAAATACTGACATTCAAACCAGCGGTTTCGGGAAAAATTACAACTTTTTTCGTGATTGAGTGCTAAAATTTTCCTGTGAATTTCGGCCACGACGGTGTGGGAAAACATGCCTTGTGAGAGAGGATGGAGTAACAGTCGGTCAGCAAAAATAAAAATCCGAATATTTTTATACTAGGTCACAGCCGCTTGTCGACATTGGCGGCAGCCCTGTATAGATCGTTAGATTGTGAGCATGTGCGTACAACATTGGTCGCATCAACAAGATCAGTCAAGGACAATATCACATCAGCATTGTAGATTAATCACACACGTTATTATTTCCTAGCCTACAGAAAGCCACCATTTCTCCAATAACATCAGAGAAATGTTGTCAAGGTATCACACCGCGAGGAATGACACATCAGGGTGGGGCTTCCCTCCAACTGCCTGAAAAATTTGGTACCGACGGTACAGTGGTGCATGGAAAGAATCTATGCAAAAACCGCATCTGCCTCCTATTTCCATTGAGGCTTAGTCACCACTGTACACCACATCACCCCTGTGTTACACGAGTGAGGCACAAGTTACGCCGGTACCTCACCTTCCAGCGAATGGGACAATCATTTGCAAGGCTGTGTGAGATGTGCGACTCTTCTCCTTGGCAAAAATGGAACAATTCATGTTGACCTTCCAGCTTGCCAAACTATTTCCAAATCAATCGATCTGGCCACTTAGTTGTGATACAAAACTTAAGCGCGGCTGAAAAGCAGAAAATCCGTGGTTTCTGTTAGCGAGCAGATGATTTACTCACGCAAACACCGATAGTTATACGTCTACGACGAAACTGCAGGATTTTTGCTGCGACTCAACATTCACGAGAAACGCGCTGCTTCGACAGGCTTTTGGGTGATAATGATGACCATTCCAATTTTTGACAGCGCTTAGATTACCGTGGTCATTTTGCGCTTGCTGATGTGTCGACGGATAGATGTCAACAGTAAAAGAAGGTCAAGATTCAGAGACGACCAGCAGCCTGAGGACCGGCACGCAGCGAGATTCAAACCGACGAGCACTAGTTCGAGGGCCAGTACGTAGTGAGAGTCAAGCCAATGTGGTCAATGTCTCATAAGCTGACGCCTGTAAGGACAGTAGATTACGGCAAGTTCGACCGCAGCTTAGAACTTTATTATGACAAAAAGCTCAAGCTTCGTAAGTTAACCTACCAGCGACCTCATCGTCGCCTGGCGCCCGAAGAATGACTGCCTTTCAGAGCTGAATGATGCGCAGTCAACAAGTGAGTGTTTCACAGTCAACACATGTCCGCCTCTTTCACACGTGGGAAGATCTGCTGTGACGACCAGTCGCAGTCTGCGGGTGCTGACGTGTGACCGACGCGATGACGGGTCAGAATGAATTCGTTTTTTGTTTACCTTCCGGACAGACCAGCGCCGAATTACCCATGTCAGATTTGATGGCTCTCAACCTGTTTGTATTGCTTTCCTGGTCCCACAGCTCCTGCCACTCAGTCAGCATATACCTTACTGCAAAAGTGTGTAGGTCACTGGTGGGAACCTGGCTGGCCCGAGTGTTCTCATTGGGAGGAGCGGTGTTGCAGCTGCTCTGTCTGGTCCGATGATCATTGCCGGTCAGGCCAACGTGGCACGGCATCCAGACCAAAGTGATCTGTCGCTCGTTTGCTTTCAGAGACCTGGCGCGTCCCAGCATCCGCTGGATCAACTGGGTCACTGAAGCAGCGAGGCCATGGAAGGATGCACATGAGATGAAAGGGTCCGTAAATATTACAGCATATGGAAGCTCCAAGTGTGAAGTGCATTCAAGACAGCTTAAGGTAGCGTGTAGTTTAGCGGTAAAACGGACGCGGACTTGAGCTTCGCACACGGTCCAGAACCTCAAAACGATATGTACGCACGCCCAGCGTCCCAGGACGTGTTTTTCATTCGTCAGTATATAAATGGGCGGAACCTCTCCACCTGCTAGTAGCTCCTGACCTCCTTGTCTCATCTCAAGCTCCAAACTATTGTTCTTGGAGCACCGGGTTAGTGATACGTCGCACGCCTCGAGAACAGCAACTGAATGTGTCTTGGCCTGTATTTATATAATGCCAACTCCAGCATCCCCTAGCTACTCAGCCACTCGGGTGCCTAGAGGTCGGGTTTTAACCGTATTCTCTATGGGGAGGTCTCGATCACATCTCCGGAGCAGATTGGCCGAAACGCTGGGTACGAGCCGAACTGGCATCTTCCCATGGCGCGCCGCACATTCAGTAGCCGTCGCCCCAGGCTCACAGGTGGCTCGCTCGTCGCGTCGTAGTTTACTACACCAAAGGCTTATGTTGGGCAGCAAATGTTCGATGTGATTTTGTTTTCTTGATGATT